GAGTTATGATGCAACCACACACAGGGTACAGTGGGTCACACAATGGAGAAAGTGATGAGTCAGGGGTTCGGGAAAGGCTTCCTGGAGGAAATGGCTCCTGAGCTATCTTCAAGAGTGTCAAGGAGACAGGGAAGAATGAAGGAAAGGGCAGAGGCAGGGCTGCTATTCAGCTGATGTACCACTCAGACAGCCATTTGGTATTAAAAAATTATCAATGGGCAAACTGTCATTGTCTCAAAGTCCATACATTTCTTCCAACCTTGCCTCTCCTTCTTTGTCCCAGACACCCTCACAGTCCGAAATCTAAAGGGTTAACGTCTTGCAGATCAGGAGCATTCCAGGACCTAGCCAAAGACAGTCCTGCAAGCAGGGCAGTGTCTGTTCTAATTGGCATGCTCCTGTCACACAGGTTATCAGAGATGTCGAACATAACCCCCAGAAGGGAGGAGCCTATCAGGAAGAAGACACATCGTGAGTGAAGTGTGATATGTTCGGAGAACTGCCAGCTGTGTAGGATGGCTGAGGTGGGGAAGAAGGGACACAGCGAGTGAGAAGGGTGGAGGTTACAGAAGATACTGCATGTCTGGACTTTCTCCTATAAGCAATGTAGACTCCCCGAAATAGTCTAAACAGGGAATGACAGGGGAGTTATATTTTAGAAAAGTGACTTTGGTAACTGCGCAGATGACAGATTTAGAAAGGCAAAGGGGAAAACAGGAAAATAGAGCCTAGGGCAGGGAGACAGTTAAGCTATTGCAGCAATCTGAATGAAAGAATGAATGTGGAGGGCCAATTTATGGCAAGAAATTCTAATTATTAATGTTGGCATTCCAGTATTCTTAGCCATTAAGTTCTATTCTCATTAAAGCCAGACCACAGGAAAGCAACATAACTGTGCCATGCTAGCTTAGTACTCAAAGGAAATGCCTTTAATAGCTTATTTAATGTTCTTTGCTTGGCTTTCCTTGAAAGTTCAATGAAAAATAGCCACTGAAGAACTCTTCTATATTTTATGTAAAACTACATCTAATGGGAGTCCTTTATAAGAGGATATACACAGAGAATTCCTTACAAAACATAACCAGAAAAATATGGTCTCTTTGAACAAATTTATCTTATTTCCTTTTATTAGAAATGCAAACTATATAACCCTTTTTGCCTTGGCAACCAGGAAGCTCAGGGTTAAACTTGAGGCATAACTCTTGGTTCAGGTTCCTGCTATAACAATTTGTTCCACATGGTTTCTGGCCTCTTTCTACATGTAATATTACCTGTTGTTTTAAAATTGAAAGCCACTTGAAATCATCTTGGAAACAGAAAGAATACATGTTAGAAAAAAATAAACATTTCTCTGAAGTACTCTGGCAAATAAAATGAGAAGCCTATACGTTCTGATGGGGCTGTAAGATTTTCAGGGAAAATTACCAAATGCTTTTTAATCTCTAGTGCCTACCACAGTGCCTGGCTAACAGAGGACACTAAAAATCTGCTGAATTAGGCTATTGACTTAGAAACAGCCATACGAATACATGCGACATGGATTCATCCAAGTATCATAATTCAATTAGATCTAGCCCCAAAGGTCAACTCCATTGTCCATCGTTCCCCCATTGTTGATACTTTTCTGAGTCTTTAAAGGTTTTGATTTCCTTGGCATTTTCTAACAAAATGCAAATACCGCAGGCTAGTATTATTGAAAGAGTCTATAGTTATCAGCTGATGTCTTAGTTTGAAAGCAAGGACTTTCAGAAGTTGACAAAAGAGGGCTGGACATGGTGGCTCACACCTGTAATTCCAACACTTTGGGAGGCCAAGGCAGGAGGATCACTTGAGGCCAGGAATTCAGCAACCACCCTGGGCAACATAGTGACACCTTGTCTTTACGAAAAAAAAAAATTTTTAAACCAGCCACGTGTGGTGGCAGATGCCTACAGTCCCAGCTACTTCAAAGGCTGAGGCAGGAGAATCGCTTGAGCTCAGGACTTCGAGGCTGCAGTGAGTTATGATCATTGCACTCACCCTGGGTAATAGAAAGAGACTCTGTCTCTACTGGAGAAAAAAAAAAGATAAACATCTGGAGGGTATAGGTACAGCATGGAAAAGAGGAAAAGATCAGGAATGAAGCAAGTTAGGAAGCACAGGTGGAGGCTTCCGAGACAAGTTTACTCTGACTTCACAAACTTTTGACAGCTGGTTTATCTTGATAAAGTTTTTTGGAATAAAAAATGTATTTTCTCCCAATTTTTACACTGTTCTTTCTATGATTTTGAAGATGTTTACCCTGAAGGGGTACAGAACTTACAGTGAGTACCACTGCATCACATCTATCTACCTACCTATCTATCTATTGAAATGAATCAGTCATTGATTTTGGTTTCTTGCCCTTTCTAACATACTCATTCTATTTTCCCAGAAACACTTGAGGGAAGCAGGAAAGTATCTGTAAGATCTACACAAAAAGTGAGGATGAGTATTTTCCTAAGGAGTGATGCACTATCTCTTCTTGTGTGTGGAATTTTTTCTCGTATTTCTAGCAATTATATCTAAAAAATAGGTAAAAGTATTACCTTAATTCCAAATATCTTAATTCCTACTGTGTGTAAGGCCTAGAAGTCTTACTTAGCATTCCTAAGACTGTGAAATGCCTTAACTTTCCTGAGTGTTCATAGGACCCTGAACTGAAAATTCCCACTTACTTCTCAGTCTCTACCAGCAGATTGTAAAGCCCCTTATTTGACTTCACACCCATGGTGCCAAGGACGGTATCTTACTAAAGTAAGATAGTAAGTTTCTTACTAATAGTGTTCGCTGCTCAGTGGGAAGCGTTAGACGCTGTCACTCAAGGGACTCACCGTCCAGATGCGGAGGCTGCACACGTGCAGGCCGCAAAGATGGTAAGAATAACTCAAGACGGCAAACACTAAGTGCCAGGGAGGAGTAGAGATGCTAGAAACTCCTTTTTTAGGACCTCATATTCTATTGTTCCTTACGAAAAGAGTCAGTCCTATTCTCAAGAGGATTCTGAGTGAAAAGGACACATTTTTAAAGTTCCAACAGACCTGAGTGTGAATGGAGACTCCTCTATTCACGAGGACTGTGACTTTGGGCAAGTGACAACTTCTCTGAGCTTTGTGTTGCTCCACTGTTTAAATGGCGACACTGTGTATATTGTAAAATTACTGTGAAGAATAAATCAGAACAGGCATACAACTCACCTAATATGGTGCCTGCCACAGAGAAAATGATCCATTAATATTGGCCCAGCAGGAAGACATACTGATTGGTGAACATTTCTATATATGAATCTGAGATATTCTTCTGGGCACACTTTCTAACCTGTACATCGTTAATTCTGCTGAATCTATGTATTTAAAGAATTTAAAAAATCATCCTAGGAAGAGCCTAATGAGAGTAAAACAAACACATTACCAGGTTATTAACTACTGATGCAGGCTATAATTAGCTCCTTATCAGGGTTAGTTATTTACAGAATATGAGAACGACACTGGCCTTTTAAATGACACTCATAATGAGCTTTCCTCTCAGAGAGTCACAAAAGATAATAAAACATAGCTGGAGAATTGTGTGAAAACGTAAAAAGCGGGGAACACTGTTTGGGAGGTGTATGGTACATGTACAGCACACACATGAAAAACAAACAGCCCATAAACTTTTAAATTAATCACTGCCTACAAGCATTTGCAAAGCTTTTTCATGTTGACTGAGTGCAGTTACACACAATGTCTCTTCCATCAGCAAACATTCGAAATCCTCAAAATGTATTAACACCCGAATGTATTCACAATCTCTTTCTTCTATTATAAATAGACTTTGGATGTGTGACTTTTTTGTCCCCCAGAGGAGCTGATACTACAGAGAACTAAAGGGAACATTTAAACAACATGAAAGACGATGGTAGGATTTGGTAGTTATACTAAGGGAATACCTGTTTCTTTAACTGTCTTCAAGGTATTAGTGATGACTAAGTTGATTTTTTTTGAAAGTAGTGATGTTTAAAATATATAAAGGCAAGGTAAGAACGAGTATGCACCAAGGAAAATTTCTACAATTTGGGCATTGTTTTAAATCATAAGACTCAGGTACTTGCTTTAGGAGGAATATGCCTTTGTCAGACATTTTTCTGCAAAGTGTACAAACATTAAAGATCGTTCTGCACCATTCTATTCTTTGTTGTCACAGTCCAGTGCTAAAGCCAATTTGTAAAAGAATACTGTGGGTTTAATGCCTAATCCCTTTCCCTCTGGTACAGGTTATCTAGAGACAACACAATCTTGCAAAAATGTTTCATTTTGATTTTGGCTTTGTGACTTTAAGGACAGCAAGAACCCCAGAAACGTTATCAGGTTACACTACTCTAGCTTTACTGTTTTTAAGGTCTCTCAATACAATGGCATCTGTAGTCTGGCCCCATTCTCACTTGAGGTCATGCAAGTGACTGCTTCCATTTGTATAATCTCACACCAGGATATCAAATGGGTTTCATCTTTTAGGGCAACTCCAGTAAACTGGATATTGAGAGCTCTGGGGTCTCAGTGGGAAAAGAGCTGGCACTGAGCTGTAATGTCTGCTGTGGGCATGACACTGGGACTGTCACCAGTGTTCACTTCCTGCCAAACAAGCCAAAACATATGCCCTTTGCTGCAGTCCAGCCTTGTCCTTCATTTCCTGAGAACATGTTATGTTCATCATCCATCCTTCCTCCATGCCTCTGCTCATTTTTCACCCCACCCAGAATTCCATTCCTTTTCCTTTCGATCTCACCAACCCTAACCAACATTTAGAGCTGGAACCATGGTATTCTTTTTGGATAAAGCTCTCTTTAACTATTTTTAGCCTGTGTCACACAATTTAGCTCAGTTCTTTTACTGTGTTTGTGTGTGTGTGTATGTGTGTACGTGTGTGTGTGTATTTAACCTTGCTACATGCATATTTGCTTTATCTCCCCAACAAGACCGACAGTCCATTGGGGCTGAACCCACTACTTTGGTATCTTCTATTACTAAAGGCGCATTGCTAAATGCATAGCGGGCCCAGAGTTAAAATCAAGGTGTGCAACCATGTAGCATAACTTGTTTAAGAGCTGCCAATCAAATTACCTCGTAGAGGATGTGCTGGGTAAAGACCTCCTCATTGCTCCTGGACTCATGCTGTAGTATGAAGAACTTTCCAAATCTGAGAGAGAAAAATTTGGGCCAGTTCCTGCAGCTATTGGTGCTAGAATTAAGAAAACAAACAAAAACCAGTTAAATTCTGTGGATATAAAATCAATGACAGCATACTTCAGTGTTGCATTTAGCACATTTTTTTTTGCATTTATATGGTAAGCTAATCGAAAATAATCAGTAATAAACTGACTCCAAAGGAATACTGACTAAAAATAGTCTATACGGGAAAGGCATATTTTTTCTAATATATTTTTCATCTTTTCTCTTTATGTAATAGTAAATTGTCACCGAGGTTGCAACATTCTTGGATGCTTTTAACAAAAATACTTCCCCCACATTTTGGTCTTAAACTTTTCTGGAATGAACAGCCAAAACACTCCTTAGGCTTGTCTAACTTTATCTGATCCTGATAGCTTCTACTCATCTGTATTTTGGAATTCTGTTTTGAACTTCGGTGAGAACAAAGTCATCTTTCTAAGCTGCCCATTCTCAGTTTCTTCTAATATGAAATGTGTGGTTTCTCTTTACTCTGAATCACCTCTCCATCTTGCATACATCTTAACTGAATATTTGCCCAACCTTGTAATTTAAGGCAGGCCCATAGTTTTTATGAATAAAGTTTTACTGGAGCAGAGCCATGGCCTTTCATTTCTACATTGTCTATGGCTGCTGCCCCACTACACCATCAGGGAGAAGTAGCTGCAACAGAGACCATATGGCCCACAAAGCCTAACATATTTATTAGCTGGCCTTTTATAAAAGAATTTTCTGATCTTTGATTTAATTTTGATTATTTGTGATTTTCAGAAATGACTCTTGTGTGAGACTGATTCCTTGTATTTTCTATCTTTCAGCCTGGATACCTTTTTGACAGTAGATTAATAAATGTTTTCCAATGGACAAATAACAAGTACCAATTTTATCAAACAACTCCGTAAAATTAGTGGTGTAAATTATTAGTGCAAATAATCTTTCTGAAAGATTACGTAAAAGCAGGAAAAACAGATACTATATGAAGGCACTGGTTTGAGAGCTAAGCCCACATAATTTGATACTGGAATAAATAAATTACAGGTTAGTATCCATCAGAAGAAATAATAATAAGGGTCATCATGAACCAGAGACATTTATTCATCCAATGGATGCTTACTGAGAGCCTGCGACTGCCAAGAACTATGCTGAGTGAGGAAGGCACTCAGATGAAAGACGTGGTCCCTACCACTAAACGGAAAGGAAAGTCTGACAGATTAATTTTTTAAAAGTCTGAGAAGTCATTTGATAGGACTACAGGTGCTCAACTTACAATGAGGCTATGCCCTGATAAACTCATCGTAAGTTAAAAATATCATCAGTTGAAAATGCAGTTAATACTCCTATTTTATAACGAAGTGTTGAATATCTCATGTAACTGATTGAATATTGTACTGAACGTGAAAAACAGAGTAACTGTATGGCTACTTGGAGTATGATTTCTACTGAACACAACGTCAGTTTCCCACCATCGTAAAGCTGAAAATTTTAAGTGGAATCATTGTAAATGGGGGACCATCTGCATTCCTAAATTGAAGTGGCTGCAAAGAAGGGGGTTATTTAACCCAACCTGGGGATAAGAAGTTCAAGGAATGGCCTCAGAAAATGTGAAGCCTGGAAACAATGTTAAAAGGACAAGGAGGAATTATGCAACTGAAAGGGATGGAGGACTTCTAGGCAGAGGAAACAGCATCAAGGTAAGACAGCAGAAAATGTTTACTGGATTTCTGAGAGCTTGGTATGACGACATAGTGTAGAATACACGGGAAAGAGGAAGGATGGTTAAGGTCAGGTTATGAAGGATCTGGTAGGTTTTTCTTTCTTTTTTTTTAAGAGACAAGGGTTCACTTTGTCACACAGGCTAAGTGCAGATGCAAAGGTGTGATCAAAACTTACTGTAGCCTTCAGCTCCTGGGCTCAAGCAATCTTCCTGCCTCAGCCTCCCGAATAGCTGGGACCACAGGTGTGCTACATCACACCCAACTAATTTTTAAAAAGTTTCTTTGGTAGAGATGGGGTCTTACCATACTGCCCAGACTGATATTGAACTTCTAGTCTAAAGCAATCCTCCTGCCTTTGCCTCCCAAAGCACTGGTATTACAAGCATGAGCCAACATGTGCCCGCTGGGATCTGGCAGGTTTCTTTAAGGAACATAAATTTGAATTCAGCAGATTGCCAAGTTTATAAGCTATTAAAACATTTACCTTACCCCCTATAACTGGAGATTATATTGTCAGCATCTAATATAGTCCCTGACACCAGGAGGCAGTCAGTAAACACTAGTCAATGGAACGGGCTGCTGCATTGAGTTATATTCAATAGTGAAAGAAGAACCAGCAAAGTACGAGAATGCTATCATCAAATTTGCATTTATCACCTAGAAAGATCCGTCTGTCATGAGGGTAGGCATGGAGAGGAAAGGGTGGGGGGCGCTTGAAGAATATAATCAGCAAACCAGAGAGTCCACTGGGACATTTGTGCAAGGTATAGTGGGGATGGGGTCTAAACTCAAAGGATGGAAAGGAGGAGCCTGATATAAGTTATTCAGGAGTACTGACTGGCTGGGCACATGTGTGGTGGCCCACACCTGTAATCACAGCACTTTGGGAAGCTGAGGTGGGAGGATTGCTTAAGACCGAAAGTTCCAGACCAGCCTGAGCAACATAGTAAGACTGTGTCTCCACACACACAAAATTATTTTTAATTAAATTAGCTAGGTGCAGTGACACGAGCCTGTAGTCCCAGCTACTTAGGAGGCTGAGGCGGGAGGATCACTTGAGCCCAGGAGTTTGAGGCTGCAGTTAACTATGATCATGCCACGACAACTCCAGCCTGGGCAATGGAGTGAGACCCCATCTCGAACAAAAATCTTGGAAAACAAATAAATAAAAAGAAGACATGCTGACTTCTTGACTGTTGTAATAATGGGAACAGGGGAGTTTGGGATAACTCCCAGGATCAGCACTTGAGAAACCAGGTGAATTGAGGTGCCATAATGGAACTATGGAATCAAGAGACGGTATGAGGGAATATAAGAATTTCTAAGAAAAAATAGTTATTTGATTAATAGCAATGAATAAACCCTAATCACAACTGTCAGTATATAAAAACGGTCACTGCTGAAAAAATGGAAGACTGAAATTCACATCTACTTTCTGAAATTCAAACACATCTCTCAGTAACAGGCTCTAAGGGAGGAAGAGCCTTTCGTTTAAAAAAAATGGTGAGGCTTGACAATAAGTGTAAACAGGGTTCTAATTAATAATGCTGACCGTCATCCCCTAATTTGCTTTTTATATTAAATTTATTTGCATAATTTCCCCTTTAATTTCGTGATATTTTCAGTATGAAATAGGCCGTGGAGGAGAGGCGAGGGAGATTACTCAAAGATGAGCCTAGATCACTCACCCTCGCTCCCAGCAGGCTGACATACGGTAGGTACTTAATGCTTTGTGCCTTCCTGGAGATTAGAGAGCCACGCCTCTCATTAGCTGAAGAAGAATTATAAGGCTAATCAATGTCATAGGTCTGGATTTAGATGTTTTTCACAAATGTCAAAAGGGAGATGAGGCCTCAACTGGGTGGAGAAGTTGTTTCATTCTTGAGCATGGCGGACACTGTCTGGCCCTCACTCCCTTGCTTTTGGAAGGAGAGGAACACAGAGCAAAGTGTGAATGTGAGGGACTGGATCAGACAGAGAGAAGAAGAGGCCCCTTAGCTCATGGTGAACATCCAGATGCACTTATATTTAATACTTTATCTATCCTAGAAAAACGTATTTTGTCTTATCTTTTTTAAACGTCAAGAGAGCCAGAATAGGGGAAGAAAAAAAAAAGCCTGTGTAAACATGGTGTGCCCACCTTCCAGATATTTAAAAATAATTAAGTCCACAAAAATGGGCTTAGCTTGGCCATATATATACTTCCTGTGAACCACTTAAGTATACTGTAATTGTAATGTGGCAAATGGCACCAGGTGGCCTGGCACTTCCCAAAAGTGTCTATCTGACTTCTGATGAGCAACTTGAGAGCTTGGCAAACTGGTTATGCGTGTCTGAAAACATCACTAAGTTTCTGAAATGAGAATGGGTTTCACAACCTGAGTTAAATAATCCTAGTAATTCACAGACCCAAACTCTGCCTTCTTCAAGAGTCTTATCAAGGAACATCCCCCTGCGACTGCCCGTAGGTATGAATCACATGGACAGCTGGCTTATCGGGTTGGATTCTGACTCAGTGACACTGTCACAGCCAAAGAGAAAGCTTCGCACCTGAGGGGAGCAGTCCCTGTCAAAGTATCCCTGCAATGGGTTGGGTATTCTCAGCATCTCTAATCTGGAGAACAGAAAGAGCTTTTGACAGGTCATGAAGAACTCAAGAGGCGGGCTTTAGGCAGGCCTTTTGGAGCACCCATCATGCCACGTTTTGATAAGCACTTTATTTACTGTACTTAATTTCATTCTCAAACTTAAAAACGCATTTTCTAGATGAGGAGAACGAAGGCTTGGAGTGAGATTAAATAACTTGTCCTCGATTACAGAAAGACAAAAAGAGACAGTCAGGGTTAAAATGTAAGGACGCTGACCTCAAAACCTGGGCTTTTCTTACTGCACCACACTGACTCCCACATATAGTATTTGCCTTAAACTTGAAATAATAAAAAGGTACACAGTGTCTCTGTCCCCAAAAGGTTTACAACCTAAGTGGTATACTAAAATAATACCTTAATATCTAATGCAATGCCGAACATGCTAAATTTCATAGGAAAAATGTTATGAATGTGCTAGGAAAGTTCAAAGGAGTCACAGATCCCACTGGCTTGTGAGATCAGAAAAAGGTTTGATTCCAGGAAGAGTGGGCACTTAAACTGAGCCTTTAAGGATGGTTCAGATTTAAAGAGGCACAGGAGACAGGAAAGGCTTTCTTGGCAAAGGACAAAGTATGTGCATAAGTTTGGAGATAAGAAGTAAAGTGGGCTGGGCGCGGTGGCTCACACCTGTAATCCCAGCACTTTGGGAG